CCCGACGTTCCCTTCCTTGGGGTCTATGCGGCGTGCCGTCTCATGCCAGGATCTCTCTCAGCGGCGATGTCTCTGACGACGAAGGCTTCAAGCGGGGCTGCATCTCCACCTTCGATATGGATTTCTGCGCTACGTAGTGCTTTATTTGCGGACTTCAAGCCCGCTCCTGTATATAGCGGGGAGAGAAGCTTGGAACACGCTACAACTTGCAGCGCAAGCTCTCCTTGTTCCAGACGGAGATTTGATGTGCGAGGGCTGAGACTTGCGTTCAATATGTCAAATTCGATTGACTTCGTGGCTGTGCAGAGCTACGTTTGACGATCTTGGAGTAGGGCCCCTCGCAATCGAAACGTCATTCCCCAAGTTCCTGCGTCGCGCGCACATCGAACCCTCCATGCGTGCTCTAACCGGACTTTACCTGTCCGCGGCCTGCTGCCTCTTCGGCCAAGCACTCGCTTGGAATCAACAACCCGACGGCTACGAGGTGATCGACGGTTTCGATGGCTCCGAGTCCGTGGCCGCATGGCGTCGTGACTGGACCGCCTGGAAGAAAATGGAGATGATCACCAACCGGTACAGCCCGAACGACTCGTGCAACGTGTACAACATCCAGCAAACTCAATGGACGCAGCAGAATTTCGTGTAGACGTTTCTTAAGATGAACGACCGCTTCATCTACGATCGAGAGACCCAGCAATACACGGTGGACAAGTACGTGGATGAGATGCAGAGTCGTGTTGGCCCCATTGACAGTGTGTTGATCTGGCCTGTATACCCGAACATCGGTGTGGACAACCGGAACCAATGGGATCGCCTACGAGACCTTCCCGGTGGAGGCGAGGGCGTCAAGGGCGTCATCTCTGACTTCCATCGTCGAGGTGTCCGTGTGATCATCCCGTACAATCCATGGGATATTGGAAATCGTAACGAGTCTGGACTGTGAGAAATGGTACGCATGTACAACGCCGACATCACGACACTAACGGAAGTAGTGGGTAATGGAACATTGCACCGCAGTTTGTTTTTTCCTTACCCTAATTTACTACCAAGAGACCACCTGAGAGCGAAAGCAACGTCTTTTGGATATTAGGGTAACCTTAGCTTTAGACTCGCTCGACCGACAACATTCAAACTATATTTTTAAAACAATAGATAGCTTTTTATTATCTTCTCTTAGCCACCAATCAGGAATAAGAAATCAGTCAGCGCCGCCAACTATGCTTTAGATCGCAAGCTTTGAGTCCTGCGATATGGTTAGATAGGAACTTGTCGAAGTGTAGTTGCCACACTGGATGGCTATGAGTTCACACTGGATAACTATAAGTTCTCACGCTTGGCTAAGTACTTCGAGATAGATCTCTCCTCACGGTGCCATTCGGCATGAGCAGCGAATGCACCATACGAACGGGATCGCTTGTTGCATCTTGGGTAAGGGGACACAGCAGATCAACTTCATCTTCTGACGACGAACCCGAATCCTGGGTCCAAGACCATTTCCAACACAGGTGCGCGCATCTTTGAAACCAGGAAGCACATCAACCCCCGTCAAGATCTCTCCACGGCACTGTTGTCAGAGCATTGTACGTCTCCATTGTCGTCAAGATAGTACTCATACATCCGCTGAAGGTCTGGGCGTGGGTCGATCAGCCAACCCAACTGGACGCCGTGCTGGAAATATTCATTTCGCATCTTTCCATCAAGAGCGCTAAGTTTAGAGCCCCGACCAGAGAGCTCATCAATCTCAACAACAAAGGTGGGGACATAGGGATCGCCACGATACGTCCACATCTGTTCACGAGTCAAATTCCTGTCATCATCTCGCGGTGTGTATGCCACGTCGGGCATTCTCACCAGGGCTGTGAAAATTAAAATGTTAGATTAATCTTGGCCTGAAAACATCAAGAATGAATTATTGAGTTAATTGCCAGAATTGCCAGAATTGCGGCGGATTGTAGCTCGAACTTCTTCTACAGTGTACACACTCCACAGTGAACGGTTGCAGTGCAGGAAGACTAGCGTCTCCAGAGTGACGCGATCCATACTCTTCCTCACGTCACTAAATATAATCTTTGCACGTGAAAAAAGTCTCTCGCACTCATTCGATGTAGGCGGTACGTACCCGACGTCGACATACGCACTCCGCTTCGTTGTCTTGAGCCTCTTGAGCTTGAGCTGCAAATGACGGACCTTCAGGGCTCTCTTCAGCTTGATCTTCATCAGGGCTGCTGGTGACACGAAACGCCGCACAGGCAGCTCGCTTAGGCGGCGTGAGAGATTGACCTCGCTGGATCTTGCTTGACCAGACCGGATTCGAGTGCAGGATAATTGACGATTGCGGCGGTTGGAGACAGTCGGGGTTTCATTTCCGGGTATTGTTAGCTTCCTTCTCGGCTTTAAAACTACTGGTTGTCAAGGCTTGAGGTGAGTAGCACAGTAAAAAAAATATTTTTACTGTGTGTGCTACTGTAAAAACTGGGGAAACTTTTAAACTTAAATTTTGTACTACCAATTAATAATTAAATTAAAAAATCTCAATTAATTGTTTTAATAATTACATTATGAGCACCCCTGATTCTCACGTTGGGCTTTCCGAGACGCTGCCCTAGAATGAACGCTCCTTGCGAGGTTGTCACTCTGCCTCCTACTCCAGACCACTTTGCCCATTCTCCGAGGAGTTCTGCGATCTTGGCCGCCACCTTCATATTGCCATACACGACCATTCGATAGGGACAGAAGCGGCCTTCGTCGATGAAGAACGCCGGCTGCTCGCCAAAAACGGGGTTCACCAAAGGATGAAGCTTCTTCGCGTGATTATTTAGCTGCTCCAGCTCCACTCCAGGATAGTCCTTGACGTAGCACAAAGTCGTCTTCGTTTCCAAGTCGCGCACGAGTCGCGTAAGGACGTCTTCGTGAGGTTTTTGCTTGTCCTCCATCGCTGCTCTTTCTCACTGGTTGCTTTGCTGACCGAGAAATTCCACGATGGGGTCCACACTTTTTAAGGTCGGTAGTCTCGGACTTTCGGGTGATTGAAGGAGGCTGACAAAAAAGTGGAGCCAAGGCCTCATTGCAGAGAGCAAGCGACAAGCTTGCGGCAAAGGATGCCGGAGTTGTTTGAAAAGCGTGGCATACTGTTCGCCGTAAGACCGCAGGGGTGCAAGCGATATGTAGATTAGTAATAAGCTTCGAAGTAGGCATAACAAGTAATGAATGCGGATCTTTACCTTCTATTATAATATTTTATAACTGATAAATATAAAGTTAGTAATATACAAAGATGACGTACTCACCTGAGCAATACGAACTTGACAAAGAGCGAATCCAAGCCGCATACAAGCGGTACTATCTAAAAACAAGTCAAACGCGACTGGCTAAGCAGCGATAATATGATGAGAAGAATCGCGAAGAAATTCGTGCTCGTAAGAGAGAAGAATTACTTAAATAAATCCGAGCTTAACCAAAGCGAACTTAGCTGATTATTGATACTTTTTCTCAGATATAAAGTCAGCCCTTTTATAAAGTCGATCCTGATACAAGATCCGATAATTATAAAGTCGATTCTCACGAGATTAATATAGACGAAGATATATAGGCAATATGTTTGCATACGAACTCGCAGGATTAAAGAGATTTAAATATCCAAGCTGTCAAGTGGGGTAGCAGCTACAGGGTTAAGGTTCGAGGTAGAACTGGTAAGATGGTATATATTAGCAACATCTCACGTTCAGTCAGCAAGAAATTGGTGGCTAAGCAGTACAATTTTTCAGTTGAAACCCTTGAGAAGCATATGCCGCCTGACTATAAGGCTGATCACAAGTACCGTGTTTAATCTGGGAATCACACCTATATGAGCGTATCGATGCAACTGATTTCTACGATAAGCTCGAGAACGTTCTTTCGACCCAGCAAGTGCTTTTAAGGTAAATATTGATTTTGGGTACGAGCTTGTGAGTAAGACCGATCCTGATGATACTCGCTACTTCTATCCGAATCTCGCTAGCACTTACGTGCTCATTAAGCCTGTCGCTATCAGCAGCAAGGCTGATATTCAAAAGAAGGTGTTTTCGGATAGTCGGTCTAATAATGGAGCTGGTCGACAAGCTGAACTACCCCAGCTCTGGATATAAGCTAAAAGCAATCACTGCATTCAAGATTTTCGTCTACCATCGCGACCATGCTCTTGGAGATAGCGAATCTGTAATTCCTAATGTTATTCGCTGAAATAAGCATGTAATCATCTCCCCCAAGGCTAACAACAAGTGCGTCTCCCACTGCATCGCCTGTCACACATTCCAGAGCACCAAGAAGAATCCTCGCAGAATCCAGGCTCAGGTGAAGGATGCATTCAAGCGCTACTGCTATTTTAAGGGGATTAAGTATACGCTGAGTCTATTTAGAAGCTTCAAGCCTATTGACCTACTACAGCTCGATGAGGTCGAGGCCTGCTTACAACCCGGTATTAACGTATATATCATGGATGTAGCTACCGGAAATGTTGAAAGCATTCGTAGGTCGAGCAATAGGTATGAAGCTAAGGATATTCTATCACACGAGAATCACGCTCTCTACACCAAGAACATCGATATGCTTCAGTCTAAGTATCCGTGCCCCAAGTGTGAAATGATTTTCGTGAGTGGTGAAAGACTTAAAAATCACAAGAACAACCAGTGTGTGCTTGTGAATATTAAGATCTTCCCAACCAAGCCAACTATATACAAACCGGCTCAGAATACGATGCGATCGCTGCTTACGAAGTATTCCGTCAAGAATGCTGACCATTACATCGATCACTTCAGCGTTTATGACTTTGAGGCCATTCTTAAACCTACCGCGGCTCAACACGGGGCGGATAGTGTGTTTACGAACGAACACATTCATGTGTCGGTATCAGTAGTTGATAGCTTAACCGAGGGGGTGCGTTGCTTTGTAAATGACGACCCCAGGATTTTGCTTATGAAAATGTTCAAATACATTGGTGATGTATCGGTGAAGATCCAACAGTACAATGTCGATAGTATAAGTCGCTTCTGCAGAAAATCATCAATGCACATAGTCTGACAGGTATGGAAGTCCCATGCGGTAATTCTGATAAAAAGTACAAGATGACTGATGTGGAGAGCTGGATTAGGGAGGGAAGTATGATAAATTCTTCCACTTCCATATCAGTCTTGGTTTTGGTAAGCAAAGGTCTGATTATGGGAAACTGAAACAGCAACTTGACCTGGTACCAGTATTCGGCTTCAATTCTGGTCGATACGACATTAACTTGATTAACAAGGATTTGTTCTCCGTAATTGGTATCGACAACCAAAATTCTGTCATCAGAACCCCCAGCTACATGTGCATTGCTACAGCGGACATGAAAATGATTGATATCACTAACTATGTACCAGCTGTTACCAGCTACAAAAAGGATCTTAACAACAATATCTCGGTGGCTGCAATGCGATGACAAATTAGATGGCCGTGTCATGTAGAGTATTTCTTACGAGTACATCACCGCGTCGATGTACTAACAGACGCTATGCCGCCTATGTCAGCTTTTGATAGCAAGCTCCGCGGAAACAAGCATCGCCAGCGATGACTACGAACGAGTGAAATTCGTGTGGGATTACTACGAGATGAAATCGATCAAAGTCCTACTGATCTGGTACAATAATCTCGACGTAGTCTCTTTCACCAAAGCTATCAAGGCTCAGCGAGGGCTATTTAAGCGCTTCGATATCAAGGCTTAGCGAAAGCTATTTAAGCACTTTGATCTGGATGTGTTTGCAGATGGAGTGTCTCTACCTGGTATTTCAGAGAAGGACATGTATCAGACCTGCTTCAATAATCTCCATTATCCGGATAAGAAACCTGCTAACGCATTCCAATTTCCAGCTAAGCGCATGTCTGGCTACAAGAGTTAGGATGCTAAGGCAAAACGAAATTTCGGTATGACACTCGAGCACGTGAATACATTGCTGCAAAAGCAAAAGTATCTGTGTGATCTATGCAACTGTCAGCTGACTGCTGATACCGCTTCAGCGGATCGTATCAACATTAATGTTGGCCACATCGACGGTAATATCTTGGTCAGCTGCGTTAAGTGCAACACCGCTCGAAAAGACATGTCGCTTAAGAGGTTTCGGTTTAAGAAGTTGCTTGAGTTCAACTCGGATAGACTGGTATACGCGATCGACAAGGAGGAGAAGGATACCTACTCTAAGATGAAGGCCAACAATGCTGGCCCGGGGCGCCCGCAAGGGTTTCCAGGGTACCAAAGCATCCGGCCAGGCTTGGGAGTCGTCGACGTATATGACGACTCCGAGGATGTTTTTGATGGCGGCAGCGCCCAGAGAAGGCGCTGGCCAAGTGGATAACTTAGGCCTACAAGCGGGTAACTTAGTTCCGCAGACAGCTGCAGCTGTCACGAACACTGACAATAGTGCGTTCAAGGTGGGTAACAGAGTTCAACACACGATCGCCCTGACCTTAACTGAAGAGTAAGACGTCGGATACGCTTCCTGTGTGGGTAACATAGTGCCACACGCGGTCGCCCAGACCTTAACCGAAGAGGAAAGGCTCCGGACACGCTTCCTGTGTGGGTACCACAGTACCACACGAGGCTACGAGTGCCTCGGATGTCGGAGCGCCGACCTTCCCAGACGTGGGTAGCAAAGCACCGCGTCACAGTCGCCGCCGACGACGACGTCGCTTCAAGTGACTCGGAGTCCAGGGCCCGGGCTCCTCCGACAAGGCCGGTGGAAGAGTGCTATCACATCTTCGATGGTGAGACCGGTCTACCCGTCAAGGCATCTGGTGTCCACTTAACCCGTGGCCAGAGGTTGCAGAGATACTGAACCTCGAGGAGATGACGGTCGAGGCCTTCCTGGCCAACCTCAAGGCTGGAAATGTTGCCGAGATGGTGCTCATTAGACCTAAGACCACTCGGGAGAAGCTGAACGCCTCCTCTGTCTTAAACGAGAACGTCCTGGAAGACCTAAACAAGCAGCGTCAGACGAGCTTGGGTTCTGAGATCCTTAAGAACCCG